AAGGTGGGAGAGAAGGGACAGAAAAGGGCAGATACTTTATTAACATCAAAAATCATTCAAGTAACTGTCATTAAATGTACTGATCACTGGCAGCAATTTTTTCAACGCTATGAAGTATTATGAATCATGTAAATATCTGAGTTTCACAGAATCGGGATGAATGGGAAAGATAGTAAGCAGGTGGGAGAAAATACATAATTAGGTGAGTGATACCTTAACTAGGCAGTGCAGTGTATCCAAGAGACTTAAATGGAAATGAACACCATATCTCAGTTTGAAAAGTACCAACCCTACAATTTAAGATCCCGAAACGTGCTCACAACTCCGGCTCATTGAGCCTGCCCTCTGATTTATAATTATGACTATTTGGGGGGTGGGTAATTTGGAGTAGGCATTGAGTGTGCCTAGAGAAAGAATGGGGAGGAAAGTACTCTCCAGACAGTCCTACATAGAGGCACTAAGTTCAAGACATATTTTTTAAAGCAATTGTAAATAAAACATACTATGACCACCCAAACCCTTTTTAAAAGTTAAATCTCGAAGGCTGAAAGCAGTCAACCATATAACAAACAAAGCCTAGACAGAATAGAAGTAACAAAGTAAATAATTTGGGAACTGAATAATTTGCTAATTGATAAGGCATACACTTTTGTCCTGACTAGCTCAGTTTCTAGCTCCCTTTTCTTCTACTTCTTATACAGAGAGAGATTTTAAATTAAACATGTTTTAGCCATTGTTAGGGATTACTAACCAAAGCCCTACTAGCCAGGTATAAGAGGGTGTGGAGAATGGGAAGGTTAGACACAGGCCCTGCTTACAAGTTTACAACTTAGTACAGGAGATAAGCCACGTACAAAAACAACTTTAATAAAACAATGTGAAAAGAGAAGCAGCCCTGACTGGTGTAGCTCAGCAGATTGAGCGCAGGCTGCAAACCAAAGGGTCGCCAGTTTGAAACCCAGTCAGGGCACGTGCCTGGGTCGTGGGCCAGGTCCCCAACACAGGGCACTCGAGAGGCAACCACACACTGTTATTTCTCTCCCACTCTTTGTCCTTCTCTTCCCCTCTGTGTAAACATGAATAAAATCTTTTAAAAAAGAAGAAGAAAAGCAGTAGCAGAACCCTGTAGGACTGAGAATCCTTCCAATCAGTGTTCTAAGAGAAAGTTTTGTACTGGAACTGAAGAACTGATAAAACTGCTAGAGAACTGATCCAATTTGACGAGAACATAAGGTAGGATCAGTGTTGAGCAATGATGAATGAAAGGGATGGACAGGCCAATAGGAACCATAATCGGAATAGCCCTATAGTCCACAATAAAGAGTTGCTATTAGGTTGGCAAAAAGTCCGTATGTTTTTTTCTGTAAAGTAAAAGACATTTTTTTCATTTTCACCAATAACTTTATTGATTTGCATATTTTGAGTATGTCAGCTATCTCTGATGTGGTGTAACACTGATTGTTCTCAATTTCAAAAATGTCTCAATTTGATCACTATCAACTTTGGAGCATTCAGCATCAGCCAGCAAGAAATCTTCAGCACGAAACTTTGCAAACTACCTTTGACTCATATGATCAGTCAACAGCACCTCGTCCATACACTGCATAAATCTTTTTTACATTTCAGTTGTGTTTTTACCTTTCTTGAAAGAATAAAGCATAATATGCCAAAAATGTTGCATGTTTTCTTTCATCTTCCATATTAAAATGGCTACATAAAAATTCACCAATTTTGACAGTTTTGATTGTTTTAAATGACAGCTAAAGACAACTAAGTGCTACTAGAGCCATCTTATGGAAAAAAAGCAAATGAACTTTTTGGCCAACCCAGTATTTATCCTATTATCTACCAACAACCAAAAGTGCTGAAAGCTTCTCAACAGCAGCCTGAGATGATCATTACTGTACTCTAAGATTTATCTGGCAACAGAAAGACTGAAGTGTCAAAAGACAGAAGCAAAGACATCAATTAGGAAGCCATTATAATAATCTGAGTAAAATGGCTACAAACAATAAGCCTGGGAAAAAGAACAAAATACAAAGTGGAGATAAAATTCAGGGGACTGGAATGATGAAATAAGAATGATGGATAAAATACTGTAACAAAGAGTCAACATGAGTCAACAATGACACCTAAACTGTGATATTCTGAGCATGGTGGAATGATAGCACTGTCTACAGAAATGGGAATGAGCTAGTGTGTAGATCTATATAGTGAGCTCAGTTTGGGAAAATAGCAGATCATGTCAGTGACTAGGCAAATAAAAATGTTAAGAAAACAGACTGACACTGGAGTTATCAGATCTGGGACCCACCTACAGAGAAATGACACAGCAGTAAAAGAAGGTGGCCAAGGGCAGCGTCTAGGGAAATACCCACAGGTACTGGGGGAGAAGACAGAAAGAGCAGTATTAACAGGAGCATCACGAGGATCCAATGTTCTGAACAACAGGAGAAGTCAGAGTTTACAGAGCTAGGGTGGTCAGGGTTTTAAATGTCCCAAAAATACAATGCTATATTTAGAGTAGAGTAAAACCATGTACAGTAGTAAGTAGTAGTAAATAGTAAAAGTGAGACAAAGTGCATGAGAATGATAATTACTCAAATCAGAATAGTGCTTGAATGAGGGTAAGGTATTGGACGATGGGGATAGCAGTGGCTGCAGTGTGATTGGAATGGTGACCTAGGGCTTTAGATATACTTGTGCACTATCAGTCCTTAAGCTTGGGCAAATGGGTGTTCATTATACCACGCCTTACAGATATTTCTGGCTGCAATATTTTGTAATTATATTTGTGCCCTAAGAGAAATATCTTAGTGGTCTGATAGGTATGGAAGTTACAGAATCCAGATTCTCAAGGAGTTAGATAAGCAAATTAGAAAAACAAGGAAACAGAAAAGATATAACCGCCTTTGGAGAAATTTTGCAAAGCAAACAAGTAAAGTAGGAGAATGGTGGTCTGAAAGTCAGCAGGGCCTGGGAAAAGGTGTGTTAGTGTGTTGGTGGTTTGCTTCTCACTAGGGTGGGGGATGTGAGGAGTCGATCTCCTATCCATAGGCAAAGGAGATGAAGTCAGCAAAGAAAACAATATTGAAAATCTAAGCCAGAGGGAAAATGATTTAAAAGGGTGCTAGGAGAGAATGTGATCAAGAGCACAAATAAAAAGGATACCACAGAAGGAAAAAGATAAATATTTTTTCTCAGAAGCCAGAGGTAAGAGATGTGCATATTGAGAGTGCTCACGTCAGAAAGCCAGTTTACTGCCCATTTCTCCCACTAAACTGCACACTTACTGAAAGGAACAGTTTTATCCATTTTGGTAATCCAGGGTCTAATTGAGTAGTATTTAATACATAGTAAATGCTCAACAAATGACAGCTGCACAAAAGAAATGATCATCTCAGAAAAGATGAGGTCACTTGCTAAGAGAAACAATGGCAGGAGGAAATAAAGTACTGAAGAGCAGAAAGGGCCTGGTCCAATTGGAAAGCATTAAATAAAACTCTGAATAATAGGAAATGAGTAGGACATGGCAAACAGCAAAAGAACTCAACCTTGGTTCCCCCTAAAGTGTGAGAAATTACAAGCAAGAAGACTGGGTTTAAGAAAGTGCAACTCAGCTTGACTGGCAACTCAGTTGGTTAGAGCGTCGTCCTGATACACCAAGGTTATGAGATCAATCCCCAGTCAGGGAACATACAAGAATCAACCAATGGATTCATAAATAAGTGGAACTACGAATCGATGTCTCTCTCTCTCTCCTCAATAAAAATTAAATACATAAAGTGAAAGTTAAAAAAGAGGAAGTGCAGTTCAGATTCCTCACTTTGGGAAGCAGAATACTTAGAACAGCAAAAAGTCCCTAATGCAAAATTGAAAAAAACCTTGCTGCTCCAAAACATATACCTTAATGGGGCATATGTAAATCATTCTCTTTATAAGGCATTCCTACAGCATATAATTCTTATAAACAAACTAAAACACTGAGGATTGATTTTTGGATGAAATTATTTAATCTTTAGATGTCCCCCAATTCTAGGTGCTTACTATGTAGTGTTTTTTAAATGTCTATAAATGCAATTGGGGTAATGAAGTCCCCCAAAGCAAACAAAATCAGGAAACTTTATGCTCTGTCACATATGTAATCTGAATGAAGGAGTGGGAGATAGGGAAGAACGTCACTTCATTAACAAACATGAGAGCGAGCTGAGGAGAGCTAAGCCCTGCTCCTTACATCCTGATTGGTGTCTCCAGAACTGCAATTGTGGTCCAAAGTCACACCAACTCTCTGTACCATTAGTGAGGGGTGCATTAGCAGAACTGGGCACTCTCAGTCCAGAATCCCTCTGGAGAACAGGGAAATGATGAGTTCCATCACCTGGCCAACATCAGCAACCACCAAACAGTCACCTCAGGGACTTGGACAAAGACATTCATCCGCTGCGCTGGCAGCCACTACAGGCTGTCTTGCTAACCAAGTCCCTTCTGTGAGGACCACTGTCTAAGTGACCTGTCATAGAGCCTTATAAAGCAGCATTAATACCGTAGGCCAAAATGAGATTGATCTTTGAGCTTCGTGGTCTCCTGTTGTCAACGGTGCATTATAAAACCAATACTAAATACTTTATAAACAGGTCTCCCTACAGTGTATTAGGAAAACAGTGCATATTTCATGCCCCATAGTTAGGTAGCCACATATCCATCAGACTAATAAATTATTTATTAGGTGCTCAGAAGTGCAATAAGAGTCAATAAACTAACTTCTGGATACTTATAAGCTACTATTTCACTGGAAACTGTACTTGAATGAGAACACTAGAGCAGTAACTGATGGGGGATGGAAATATCTCAGCTCCTCAAGTGAACTGTTAGAAGAAAGCACAGCCCTTACATCTGAGAAGGAACAAAAATTTCTGCGTCCTAAAAAAAGAGTCTTGGTTACTGAATTTATAAAGAAAGTGCCACCCAATCACATGCTCATTTTTTTCTCTCATACATAGATTTCTCTGGTCCTACTAACCCTGGATGTCTCCTGAGGGAAATAAAAATCGGTGGAAACATTTTGAATACACCCTGAATCAGGCCAGATGACAGACACAAGTAATGGTTTGTACCTGACACCTCCAAAGAAAGTCTACAATGGCTTGAGTGTACACTTTCTGCTACATGCACAGCATGGAACTGAGTATTTATGAATCTAGGGTTTAGAGTAGCATTTTTTCCCTATTTTCAGTTAAGGCTCCCTGCACTCTAGACACCCTATGATGCTGATGCCCAGACCAACATCATCAATCAACTTTTTCCTGGTTCCACCCCTCTAAAGGGAAAAAAAATACTTTCTGTTCAAGAATGTATTCCAGCCCTTCGAGAAGGAATTTCTTCAGCTGGGAGTTATTTCCCAAACTATCAGAGGCGTGGACCTTTGTGTAGTATTGTGGGTGCCATGGTTTCACATGTTGGCCACATTAATACTGGAGAGCAAGCATCTGTAACCCACAGCTGAGTGTGCTCCGGCCCCAAAGCACCCGCAAGGCCAATGCCAATGCAAACCACTCTTCCCATCCCACATCTGAACCACACTGGCTTTCTCCAGGAGCCAGGGGCTGAGATACAATTCTGAAAATGACGGTTTTGGGTTCTCTCCATTCACATGACGGGTATAGGGTATTGAGAAGAACACTGTCAAAGGGACTGGATCTTTTTTCTCTCCCATTCCACACCAAGTGAATAAACCATAAAGAGGTTGTCTGATGGTGTTCCAAAATACCCCAGGGGAAAAACCTAAACAGATAAATATATATCTTGTTGCACTATTTTTGTTTTTCTTTCTAGAGTCTTATAGTTTTAGCACCTTCGGCTAGACTCATTAAGGTTGAAAAATATAGAAGTATGAAAAAGTGGAAATAAAGGAGAAACATGGGAGGCCCTGATTTTGCATCACTTTCTCAGAGAGATCTCCACAAATCCTAGAAATAATGAAAGAGTTGATGAAAAAATGTAGGACAAGACTAGTTTCTTGTATTACTTTTGCTACAACCACCACTGTAGCTAAGATGATTATTCATATTAATGAGTTTGGTGTATGTAGACAAACTATAAAAGATGCAGTCTCTGACCTCAAGTACTTATCTCTGTCTTAGGGGATTTACTCCTCCTGCTAGATTTACTTTTATTCTCCATACCCTTGCCTAGAGGAAATGATCATCACTCAGGACTTGGAGCCTTTCCATGGGTGGAGTTTAAATATGGCAACAAGAAGAGAAGGAACCTTTGCCCTTGAACACAGACAATGTTGGCACCACAACTCGGGATGTCTAGTTTGTGACAAAAAGAAATATAAACTCCTTGTGAAATATTTACACTGGCCTTACTGAGCTTTATCAGAAAAACCTTATAAAGTAGGAACGAAGATAGTATTCCAGTGTTTTATCACATCCAGTACACATATAAACCATATCATTGGACACAAATGAGCTAATATTAGACAACAATTTCAACTTTCTCTTTACATTCAGTTACTTATGTTTTGTGTGTGTGCTTATAGCAACCTATGGAGTCAGTTTTGCCCAGTGGTTAAGTGCCAAAGTTCTGCAGTCGATTACGCGGGTTTGAATACCTGGGGAAACTTTTACTAATCATATGAGCTCAGCAAGTTACTTAGCCTCTCCAAGTGTTAAAATTCCTTAACTATAGAAAAAGAAATAACACTAATTCACAACATTGTTGTGAAGATCAAGTATTTTGATTAGTGCAGAAAATTTAGCTGAGTGTCTAGCACAGAAGCCCTCACTAAATATTAGTTGCTACATATGTAAATGTGAATAAAAAGACATTGCAAACTACAAGGCCACAGGCCAAGTTTGGCCCTCAGGTCAAATTTGTTTTGCTCAGTTCATAAATGAGTATGTATGAGTGTGCATGTGTGTTTAATTCATGGCCAACATATAAAAAAATCAAGAAATTTTAAATTAAAGTATGGATTTCTAGCTGCTGGGGTGGACTGTCAGATAAATAAAGATATGGCAACAGAAATCTGTGTTCCTTCATGAAAACAATCTGCTGCAAATGAACAGAAGCTACGGTTCTCAGCATGCACTCACTCTCCGATGGAAAGCCTCTCCTACTCCCTTGTATCAGACCTCACTTGTTTCCTTCAATTCTGTTACCTGCCTGGCCACTAAATCCATTTGAGTTTGCAGCCCTTGCCTGTAAGTCACTGCTCATTCACATGGCATGCATAAACATGGAGAATTCATTCACACATAAATGAAAAGTATTCATTTAATTTAAAAATAAAATTTAAATAAAATGTGAAGTACCAAAAATGTTTTCTATTTATGTCAACCTCTGACAAAAATAACAGTGAAATGCATTATGTTCCCTTTTGCATGTTCCTAATCCCTATATGGGGTGGGACAAAGGTAGGTTTACAGTTGTTTATATAGAAAATAGTAAAATAATTAATAAATAATAATACAATAAACTCTGTGTAAACCTACTTTTACCACACCCCGTATTGTTGCCAACAGATACATAAACAGTGAGTAAACCCATCACCTGTCACCATATCGGGGACTCTGCTACAATTACAGACATGGGCTTTGTGACAAATTTTTCATTAATGGTGGTTCTCAAACATACTTGTTTTTAACCCATGGAGACCTTTTAAAAAAGAAATTCATACTGAACAAACAAGACAAGAAACACAAGGCCTGGGCCCTGGGTCTCCATAGCTTGAGACACTAATGAAGCATCATTAATACTGTACCAAAAAGGTTAAGAAAACTGATATACTTGTATTGTTTTACTACACAAATAGGGAGAATAGGAAACTAGGGCAGAGTCAAACAATGAGCTTGTGGCAGAGGCTGGACCGTTTTTTGAGACCTGGGTATCCTAAACTGCTTTTACATCACAGAAGTCCAGAGGGTTGAAAATCCAGCAGTGTATGAGGGCCACTCCACCAACCTGTGAGGACAGACTATTAAACCTTCAGGAATTTACAAACCAGTTGACATTGTTAACTAGAAATTAGCCATGGTGGGAATATTTAGACCACGGTAATCAGCAAATGCCACAAGTTAGAGCTCCCCTACCCCACTGAACCAGTTGTTAAACATTTAAAAGCACATCAATACTTCATATTCTGACATTTGACTAAGTTCAGCATTTTTGCATGGTACATATGGTCACGTGTGGGTCTTCTTCCTAGAGATTTAAAGTTTTGGTGAAGAATGTGAAGAAAACCAAACCAGACACTTAAAAGTAACAGAACAAAATCAATCAGTGCATAAGTATGGAGTGCTTAGCATATACAAGGGCATTGTGATATGTTTCATAAAAGATATGGTAGGATCTGAGCATCCAGAGCTCTTAGGAAATTAATCACTCTGGAGAGGCAAAGGAGTATCACTTTATGTTTACTGTGCACCTGTTGTATGTCAGGTACTGGGGAAAACAGAAAATATTTTTTCATTTGTTCTTCACAGGTCCTATGAGATAGGAATTACTATTCTCATTTTACCGATAAAGAAATTGAAGCTAAGAGAGTTAAGTCACTTGGCCAGGGTCTTATATTAAGTGTCAAAGTGGAGATTTTTAAGACCAAGTTGTTCTGATTTCAAAATATGTGCTCCTCCCAGTGTCTGGCACTACTTCTCCAGGTTTCTACCATTTCAGACAAGAATTCTGCTTAAAGTCATTGCATATTCACCCTGTGTTTTAAACAGTAAATCTCTCTCTTGATAATTAAAAATTTTCATTTTGAACACCAAATTAATATGTAGTAGTAACAATGTTAAGACTTCTAAGGGCTTGGGTGGGAAGTGGGGGAAGAGAGGTTTCCGACTGCTCCTGGAGGGAAACAGAGTCTCTGGGGATCAGCTAGTTTTAAATTTAAAGAATCAACCATTTTATGTTCTTATAGTTAGTTGTAATCACTTCTATTTCTTATGTCTGACTTGTTCCCACTTCTAGAATTTGCTGCTTTATCTTACTATGAGCCTTTTCTAAGAAACTTTAAACAGTTAAGAATAAAATAAAACTGTAAGTACTGATAAGAAACATTTCCAAATCATGCATGAGAATGAGGCAAGATGCAGAACAGTAAGCACATGCTAGTAAGTGTAGTGTGTGACCATTTGTGTCCCCCAGAAAAAAAACTGGGAAGGGGGTTAACAAGTGTGTGTGTGTATATATATGTATTTCTAATACTAGCATTAGGCTAGTTCTAAAAATAACTTTTAGGATCTAGTAAACAGAAATTATTTCTGAGGAGGGATGGGAAATCTGTTTTTTCTGTATGAGGGAGACCCCCCAAATGGAATTTATTTATAAAAATTGTGTATTTATTCTGACATGTTTAAACTTCAGTCACCTTCAAAGCACTCTCCATTTGATGCAATACCCCTATCGAGACCTTTTTTCCACTTCTCAAAACAGTTTTGAACACTTTAATTTTGATGCCTTTTAGTGCTTCTGCTGTTTTCTGTTTCGCCTCTTTCACATCAGCAAAATGTTTCCCTTTGAGGACTTTTTCATCAGGGGAAACAAAAAACAAGTCACTTGGAAGATCAGGTAAATAGGAAGGGTGGGGCATGGGGGTCATGCTGTTTTTGGTCAAAAACTGCTGAACACTCAGTGTGGTATGGTCAGGTGTGCTCATAAATCACCCATCATGAGATGGACAAATACGCTGAGTCTTCAAAAAAGTAACTGGAGTCAAATGCAGCCTCTCACAACACTGCCTGTTGGTACACTGATATGGATTCCTAGAACACTCAACTATCAGGCAAAGCCTGTATTACAAGGCACCTGTCCTCCAGAAGAGAATTCCAGTTTTCTTGGGAGTCCCCCATTGTATAGGCTTCTTTACTCTTTTCTCACTTTTTATAATAGTTACGCATTACCAATTAAAACAAAAAAGTTTTAGAGTTTTCAGGTTCTCAGCAAAATATAAAGAACAACTGTCTTAGAAGTTTAATATCTAAGCTTGGATGCTTTGTTGCACCTCTTCAGATGCTCAAAAGCACTATGTTTCCTGGTGCTCAATTGTGCTCATATTTGTACAGTGTTGATATTTAAAGATAAATCCCTCTACTTTCACCAGACTTACAATGTAGTTGAAGAGATTATACATAAACGCCCTTGTTAAATAAAAGATATAAATAACGTCTCTCTTTTACTAAAGTAGAAGTGCAACATATCACTACTTGTGGTATTAACTATAATGCTTCCAAGAGCATAAGTAATTTGGTCAAAAGAAAGATATGGGCTGAGATTCTTGGGGTAAGGATAATATAAAAAGACAATAGAGAACATGCCAAATGGGTAGATGGCATGAATAAAAATAAAAATAAGGGTATCTTCCTTTGGTAGATGCAGGATTCTATTAAAAAGTGCGACTAGAGCCCTGGATGGTTTGTCTCAATGGATTGAGTGCTGGCCTTCAAACCAACGGGTCAGTTCCCAGTCTAGGGCACATGCCTGGGTTGCAGGGCAGGTCCCCAGTAGGGGGCATTGGAGAGGCAACCGCACATTGATGTTTTTCTCCCTTTCCCCTTCCTTCCCCTCTCTAAAAATAAATAAAATCTTTAAGAAATGAGATTTAAAAAGAATATAACAAACTGTAGAGGGCTTGAAATGTAGGCTTTAAGTTTCTGAACAGAAAAGTTAAATAATGAAAGTTGTGTTTTGTCTCAGAAACAGTGTGTCAGATATATCAGAAAAGTGAGAGATCTGAGGCAGAAGTATTCAATTAGGGGATCTGTGTTGTATTTAAACACTCCCATAGAATGTAAGCTCCAACAGCAAAGAAGTACGTTGATTTTGCCTGTACCACAAGCATCCAAACACCTGACGTGACAGTCGACACTAACAGGAAGTGGACAGCCCATCACAGAACATGAGAACCTAAACTAGGCGATAGTAAGAAACAAACAATTTAGAGTTGTTATGTCCTGTTTTTTAAAGAATCTAAAAGAACTGATGCTTAAATAAATTTTAGCTTTCAGGGAGAAAATAAAAACAAAGATAATTTGATTATTTCCAGTTAGGGAAAAATGATAGAGAAGGGCTGTCTTGAACTAACAATGAACTGTATGCATTAGATATAATTTGATATTTTACACATATAAGCTATCAATACATAAATAGCAGTTAAAATATTTCTACCTAAAATGAATAGCCTCCTAGCTTAGAACTTGCTTAGAGCTTAGTATCTTTCAACTGGACTCTAATAATCTCTCTAAAACTGCTGCTAACCATACTTCATGATTTTGTTAATGAACAGTTGAGTTCCCACCCATCAATGTTGAAAGTAAATTCATGTCTGTTCCACCTCTATATTCTTACCATGCTTGGCAGGCTGCCTCATATTCAATAGTGTTTAAGAAAATTGGTTGAATGGATGAACACATGATGAACAAATGAACGATTACAAGTAACTTCAGGAGTTTCTATGCTAGGGGCAGAAATTCAGGTCACGATTCCATTGACACTATGGCAGCTGTCGCTAACTGAGCACGGAACGTATTTCCCCCTGCTGACCCCTTTCAGCTCCTCAAAGCATTCACTACCAGTCAGTCAAAATTCACCCACAGGATGAAACATATTCCAATTTGGTGTCATTTATGAAGATCTTCAGGTAAGCCCCAAAG